TCTTCCAGACATACTTCTTCTTGAGCAGTACGTTTCTGGACCCTTATTACTGAGTAGAAGAAGTGACTAAAAGACATTTGTTACCAAGTATCAGTCTTGGAGGTAAAAATGCCCTCTAGAAAAGCTTCTGGTGGCATCCACTTGACAGGAAGCATGGCTCTTCCTCCCTTGCGGTAGTAACTTGCTCTGGGAAAGATAAAATGCATGGAGGATGTCACAGAGTCTGAAAGGGCTCAGATATATAAAAGATCTTATCACCACAGCAACAAGAGCTGGGGACTGCATGTGGCAATGGGGGACAAGTGAGAAAAAGTCATTGACACAAATAGTGCACTGAAGCATCATTTTATACCCTCTTTGCACCTACACCATCTGCAGTTTCCATTCCAGTTGCACAGATGAAGACATCAAATTTGCCCATGCTTTGCACAGCGTGCTGATGCAGCAAGTCTTCTTTACATCATAAATGGAGAATTATGGTTGGGTTTTCTTTTTTTTTGTTTGTTTGTTCTTTGTTTGGGTTTTTTTTTCCAATTAGGATTCTTTATGATCAACTAGCTAATAACTTTGCCTATGATTTTTTTTTAGTGTCCACATGTGTTTGTAGTGTTCTCTGGGGCCCAGACTGGAATAAATATAGTTGATGTGTATTGGCTAGTAGGCACAGATGTGCTAATTCACAGTCTGTTAACACCAGTTAGTTAGCTGGTAATCAAATTCAGACACATAATGGACGTTCCACGGCTTCAGATTCCATGAAACAGTTCAAACCCATCAAAATGATACAGATTACCCAGTTATTCACAGAACTGAAATGGCCTTTCACTTACCTGTAAATATCCCTGGCCATCCCAAAGTCACCAATCTTGGCTATTCGTCCTGCTCCAGTGCAGGTTAAAAGGCAATTCCTTGCAGCTATATCTCTTTAAAAAAGAAAAGGAGAAAAAAAATCTAATTCTAAACTCTTAAGTAGCTATTCTTAAGGAATAAAGAAAGAATATTAGAGCCAGTTCTGCAAGTCTTGGTTGAGTCATCTTTACACAAATGAGGAGAAGAGCCTTATTAAAAATAAGAAATAATGCCAGCTACATTATCATTTTTAATAACCACAATTCTTAAACTGCATTTACTTTACATTTTCTATCCAGTGTTTTCCAAGCATTCCCCACTCCCAGTATCAGTATCAGACCAGGGATAGATCCAACCTCCTTCTTTTGCTTCAACCACATTATGACAGATTTCTTTCTTGCTGTATTTATTTTTTTTTTAAGGATGTCATCTCAGCAGTGTCTCCGTCAGTTACAGATGTGATGCTATTGGGTAGTCTTTGTAAGATGCTTGAAAAGTCAATGCAGGAGCAGATTGAGTAAACTGTTGCTTTGTTGCTTCCGGATGTCTCCCGTGGAAGCACGCACAGGAGCAGCCACTTACTGGGTGCAGGTTTAGCTTGTGACAAATGGCAGTGATGACTGCATGGCCAAGACTGAAGGATTTGTGTTCATTTTAAATATACATTCTAAAAAGGAACTCATTAAAAATCATAGCACTGTGGGGGTCCTGTTGACTGCCAAGAAAAATGAGCTCCTTGCACAACTCATATGTTTCTTCCCACTGCCAGCCTTGAAAAATCCCTCAGGATTTGGAAGGCAAGCTCAGCTTTCTCTTCCATCATCAGCTGTGACTCCAAGATGACAAGACCTGCCCTTAGTGACATCTCCAAAACCCCACTACACTGCCTTTTCCCCCTAGGATACCTGTTATGTGTAAGGATAACCTTTCCTCCCTGACCCACTCTAACTAATACTGACATCATTAACAAATACTAATACAGAACCTGAAGAGAATTCCTTCTATGCTGACTTCCTGAATTCTTGGCTAAAACAAGTCCATTCCCAGGTTATACTAGAGATGTAACAGTGCAAAAACTGACCCATAGAGATTTTTTTAGAAGTGATATGCTGCGTTAAAAGACTCAAGCACTGGTTTCTTGCATTTTTCTCCTGAAATGGAGAGCAATACAGAGAGTCTTGAGCAATACCAGCTGGCCTGCCCATTTGTTGACATAAATGTTAGAAACTTCATGTGATGACTGCTGGGTCAGTGACACATGGTAAGAAAACCAGGGAACATCTACCTGACAGGAGGAATGGAAATTGATTTTGTAACACACTTGCGGAGATCATTTCTGTTGAGTTTCTATTGGATTTCTTGCAGCACAAGCAAAAATTGGCCCTTATGAATTCAACAGGTCAGGATGGATGGAGGTTGATGAAAGATATTACAATTACAATACAGGTTTTTAAAAAGTAATGCTGTAGGGATTAACTGAAGTTTCCAATTAGAATACTGATCATCTCATGTGCTTATTAAGAGATCCAAAACTTTTTGCATGCTCTTACTGGTCTTTTTCAATGACAAAAAAACTCTAATCATTTTCCAAGGAACTTATTTATTGTTCCAGTATAAAGGAGACTGAAAACTGTCTCAGATCCTCTAATCATAAAGCCATAACATATCCCATATCTCAGTCACATGGCTTTTTGCTCCTCGACTGCTGTTTCCTGCAGTTTCTCCAGTCTCACCTAGCTCTGCCTCTTTTGCTCTGTGCAATGTATGTACACGTGCTAGTGCGTGTGCGTGAATCGCTTGTCTACTCACATAACTCCAGGCTGCACATCGGTTTAGTTACAGCCTGTGTTGCCCTCTGGTGTGCAGCCTCTCTTTTCCTTTACACACAAGGGCTGAACCCAGTATACTCAGGAAGAAATTCAGTTGCACACTACTCCTGGGAACATTATGAGCTGAAACAACCCTTAATCAGAAGCAAAGAAGTCAAATATCCAACTGGGAATTTTAAAAGGCTACCTATAATTACCTTTTCTGTAATGTTTTATTCTTATTTGAAGCCTGCCTTATCCACATATTTTTGCTCTACAAAAGAGGACAAAGAGGCGTGAACAGAAAAATACATGCTCCCCAAGACCATACAAGCTGGCCAGCCACTGAACTGGGAAGGAAGCCTTAGAGTTGTATTTTTACCTCCTATTATTCCTATTCTAACCCTTCAGTAGTCAATGGCTCAAATATGATGGGCTTGTCCTGTGCTGATGAGGTAGGGAAAACATGAAGTCAAGGTCGGGAGATCAGAAAAGAGAGAAGTGATACCTTATTTAAACCAGAGTGACACTACCATCTAGTGGACTACTCTCAAATGTGTCTACATTGTAGGCACCTGAAAATTAAGACTTGAAAATGTTCACTGGTAACAGAAGATTCCTTTCTCCCCAGCAGTGCAAAGAGCCAAACTCCTACCAAAAACCACTGAGACCAGCCCAGATATGTAAGGCCAGTTCTGTATTGGTAGAGGAACGTCTGTCTCCCTCCCGGAGAATAGTCCTGTCTAATCCACTGCAAATAGGAGTGAGATACATCAGAAGGGACTTTTTCTCCTCACCTGTGGATGAAATGATTCTCTTCCAGATATTTACAGCCGCAGGCAATATCCCTAGCTATGTTCAGCAGAGGATGGTTGATTCTGGAAAAGGACACACAGAAAATGGTAAGAGAAGAATAGTGGAGTAGAAGAATATAGTTCAGGCAGGAAGTATCAGAAGAAGAGAAAGGGAGAGACATACATACATGGCAGGGGAAGGATTAAATGAGTCGGGAGCAAAGAGGACCATAAGCAGCTCGAAGTAAAGAGTTAGGAAATGGGTAAACTTATTTAAGCCAAAAAAACTTTCAGAAGATTGCACTCCTCCTGAGCACAGTGCATGAGTGCAAGCTGGTGAGAGATTTATGGACTGGCCTGAATAGCTTAGTAAAGGGTGTGGGAGAGAACTATTCCCTACTGGTGTTGGACTTGGCGAAATCAAAAGACAAGCAGGTTTAAAGGGTGAGATGGGGAAGACAAGCCCTATCCACTGTTAAAGAGTGAGTTAGTAAATCATCAACAGAAATTAGCTCATGAACTCAGAGAGCGGACAAAGATGCACGAGTGCACATCTCTACACCAGCGGTCAGCATTCATCAACTCATCTGTTCTTGTGGAAGGACAGAGATTACCCTCAGGAGCAGTATGCAATAAAGGGATGCGTTTCCACAGGACTCCGGGACTGGTACACTAGCCCTTCGCCATCTGCAATTCCCTAACCAAGAACAATAAAGAAATCTTTCTCCAGGAGCCCTGCCTATTTTCATCCCATCAGTTATTTCCCCACAGGGAAATTTCCTTGGTGTTTCTCCAGGAACTTCTGTATTGCTCTTGGGAAGGGTGGGGAAAAAGTACTGATCAAAAGCCCAAGAGATATCAAAGAAATAGTTCTTTTTAAGGCTGATTTTATTTCTGGTTGCTGTTATCACTGTAATTTCTCGTGCTCAACCGCATAACATACACTACAACCATTGTGCGCTGATGCTGTTGGCTAGGCAAATTATTATACAAAGCTCTTGGACATCTGCCAGGGAGAATTATTATAGTTATAAAGTAGGCATTTTTGGAAAGGAAATGAAGAGCCAGGAGGAAAAATACAACTAAGGACTTCCAGACCTTATCTCTGCTCTGGGATCCCTGTGTGAGAAGACTGCAATAGACGTGTATTTTCTTTGCAGCCAGGGAAACTTGTGAAATACATTTACGATGGGGCTACTTCTGTTTTCAGAAAAGGTGTACAAGGGCATTTCTTTTGATTATTAAGGGGACTTCAACTATTGTATTTGCTATCCTCCAGCACACCAGCTAACTTAGCATCAAGTTTGTTTTTACGTGATATTAAAAAAAAAAAAATCTGTTCTTTGCATTACAACTATACATAAATATTCAAATAAGAGTATTATTCTCTGCTGCCCACGGACTTTATCTACTCACAGAAATGTTACTACTTTCACTATACATGCCAAAAATCTATATAAACTCCTCCATCTGGGTGCTGTTATACCACTGTAAGTGCATATAATTAGTATATTTACACCTGAATGAGGAAGAGATTAAGCTCAGTCTTTAATGTTAACAACAGCATAGGAGTATATACACATGAAGCTATATTGTCATAACTATTGGGAGACAGAATGAAGCCCCCACAACCCAAGGGGAAATGGTTAGTGATCTGCTACACCACATCCACACCCTTCAGACTACAGAACTGAATAGGAACCACCCCAGGGTCCTGAGGGAGATGGTAGAAGTGATCACTAAGCCACTTTCCATCATCTACCATCAGTCCTGGATAACCAGGGAGGCCCCAGTTGACTAGAGGTTAGCAAACATGATGCCCATCTACAAGAAGGGCCAGAAGGAGGATCCAGGGAACTACAGCCTGTCAGTCTGACCTCAGTGCCAGGGAAGGTTATGGGAGCAGATCATCCAGAGTGCCATCACACAACACATACAGGACAACCAGGTGATCAGGCCCAATCAGCATGGGTTTATGAAAGGCAGGTGCTGCTTGATGAACCTGATCTCTTTCTATGACAAGTTGACACACTTAATGGACAAGGGAAAGTCTGAAGATGTTGTCTACCTAGACTTTGGTAAAATTTTTGACACTGTTTCCCACAGCATTCTCCTGGAGAAACTGGCTGCTCATGGCTTGGATGGGTGTACTCTTTGCTGGGTGAAAAACTGTCTGGACGGCCAGGCCCAAGGAGCTGTGGTGAATGGTGCTAAATCCAGCTGGCAGTCAGTCACCAGTGGTGTTCCCCAGGGCCTAGTATTTGGGCCAGTTCTGTTTAATATCTTCATCAATGACCTGGATGAGGGGGTCGAATGCACACTCAGTAAGTTTGCAGATGACACTGAGTTGGCCGGGAGTGCTGATCTGGTTGAGGGTAGGAAGGCTCTTCAAAGGTATCTGGACAGGCCGGATTGATGGGCCAAGGCCAACTGTATGAGGTTCAACAAGGCCAAGTGCTGGGTCCTCCACTTGGGTCACAACTACTCCATGCAATGCTACAGGCTTGGGGACAAGTTGCTGGAAAACTGCCTGGCAGAAAAGGACCTGGGGGGGTTGGTCAAGAGCCAGCTGAATATGAGCCAGCAGTGTGCCCAGGTGGTCAAAAGGACCAGTGGCATCCTGGCCTGTATCAGGATCAGCGTGGCCAGCAGAACAAGGGAAGTGATTGTCCCCTGTACTTGGCACTGGTGAGGCTGCACCTCGAATGCTGTGTTCAGTTCTGGGCCATTAATTACAGGAAAGACCTTGAGGTGCACAGGCACCTCAATACAACAAGAAATAATGTAGAATCAGGCCTAACTCTTCCTTTTTTTGGAAGTCTCCACTCAAGCAGAGATATATACTTATTTAACAGAGGTGCTCAGGTTCACACTGTTAAGAAGCAAGAATCAGCTAGTCATTACAGCAACATTGAAACTAATTAATTCCAAATATTCACTGTACTTGGTTGGCATTAACACAGTATTAGAAATCAGAGATAATGTGCAAAAAATCCTTATGACAGCTTTTGATAAAGGTGTTTCTTTTAAACAAAAATATTTGACTTGATAATTTTCTTTGCATTAATTTAAATCTCTGTCAGTACTGCATGCAGGCTCAGCCCTTCAACTAGTATAAATTTGTGCATCTCCATATGGTACTGATGCACACCTGCTGAGGCCCTAGTGCTACAAATTCCCACTACTGTGTATCAGTGTTATAACTTCAGGTCCTCACACACACCATCACAGTGCCCATAAAACAAAGGCAGACACTGAGGAAAGAAAGCTCCTTAATTTTTAGTCCAATTGACACAGAACTCTGGAATGGCAGGACAGGATTTTACTCTTTCCTCCTCAGTTACTAATAGACTGGAGTTCTGGCACTGCTTCCACTTGCTCTCACTGATAGATACATGACACATGTATGCATCCAGGAGTTTGTAGGAGCTGGGACACATACAAGGACCCGCTTGGCTTCAGTGCCTTTATCCTATTAATAAAAATAATAAAACCAGTCATACTAAAATAAGCCACAAGGGAAGTTATCTCACCACCCTGGGTCGATTCTGCCGAAGAAAGCTCTTCATGTCTCCTCCAGCCATGAGCTCAAGCAGAATGAAGCGAGGAAGCGTCTGCAGGCTAACACCGATGCACTGCACAATATTCTGGTGATTGAACTTACTGAAAGTCAAGATCACAGCAACATGGAAGAGAAAGACAGCATTAGTACCTGGGCAACATCATCACACTCACTGTGCCTTCAGCTCTGACAAGCTGGATTGAAAAACATCCTGATGCAGTGCAAGATACCAAACAAATTCCTACTTCAGCCATATCAAAACGCCTCTCTGATTATTACAGCCCCAAGATCAGGGTTATGCCTGGCTTTGCCCATGAAAAGCTTTCAACAGAAGGTATGAAAAGTTGAAAGTAAAGGACAGCCTTTTGTCCATGAAGAGAGAATTTAATGGACACACTGACTGAAAGATAGGGGTGACAGGAGAGGGAAAGGAAGGCTAAGCACCTCAAATATGCAAATACTGTTGAAACAAAATCTTGAGTGGTAGGGATTTTAGTTCAGCATTGGTTATTTTAAATATACTGCTGTCTAGTTTGGCAGACTCAGTTCAGTACCCAGGCTGCTGAAGAGGGGTTCAACTATTACCTACTGCAGCAGCTGCTTATTGATGGCTTTCTGCCTCTTACAAAAGAAAGCCAAGACTGTCAAGAAGCTCAGTAAGTCTCAGTCATTAGAAAGCAGCATCTTCCCTTGGATAATGATCACCTGGATAATACAGGAACTAAAAAGGGAAAGGAAGTTGAGGAAGAGAAAGGGTCATGTGCTACTAATTGAATCAAAGCACCCTCTAATCGATTGAAATTGCTCTTTAAAAATATGTATATCAGTGTTTCCTCCTGTTCAGCTGCCAAGGTTCTTGCGGACTTCAGGAAGCAGCACTACGTCATGAGTTTAATGCTTTAATAGCAGAAAACCAGCATCTAGGTATGAGCTGGGTCAGACAATGAGAAGAGTAACTTCATGTTGCACAAATTAAAAATGCACAGATTTTCATCACTTACAATCAACCCTGACGATACTATTATTTTAAAGTCACCCTTGACTGTACTGTAATTTTAATCTCATGGCTTTGGGTTAATGAAGTAAATTCCAAGACTGGAATATTTAAAGTACAGGCGGTAATAGGAATGGCTGGCTGTTATCTTTTCCAGGCAGGTTTTATAGATCCCATAGTTCACTGGCAGGGGGTCATGCAGAGGAGACCTTATAAAGGTTCTGTCAAGATGCAAAGACAACAAAAGCCAGAACACATGTAAGAGAAGTGGCCACACTGGGAGAAGGGCTGTGTTCCATCTGTGCAAGCTACACAGACAGAGCCATATTCACTACCTCATCCCTACAGAGGTTTCAGAGTGTCTCACTCAGCTATTTTTGTGCAAAGAAAGGGTAAAAGCCCAGGACCTTCACTGCAAGAAGCACCTACTTATGGCAAACAGTTCTACAGACAGGAAAAGCAAAAAGGCTGCGCGTATGCTTAGCTACTGCCTGAAAGCCACAACGGGAAAAGCTTTTCACACTCTCTCCTTCTTCACTGCCAAACCTGCTCTTATATAAACTTTTCCTTTAATTTTCAAGTTAGAATATAGTTTAAGCCCCAGCATCCAAGCCTAAAAACTTACCTCCCTGGCACAAAGGCTGTGTTGTACCACCTTGGTGCTGGTCTTGCAGAGGCTGAACTTCTGAGTCACTGCACACGTGACTTATCTTTGCCTTTCCTATTGCTTTCCGTATCATTATTGAAAATTTGTTTTAGCAAGCATGTAACTTGTACTTAGTAAAAGGGCAATGGGATTCTTTGAAAAGGAAAAAGTTTCAAAGACGGAACATGTTTGTACAAAAATATTGTGCTTTTTTACTCCTCTGAACACGACAAGCACCAACCAGCAGAATTTTTATGTTGAGCTGTTGTACTGGTTTTGGGTGGGATAGAGTTAATTTTCTTCACAGCAGCTCTTATGGTGCTATTGTGTTTTGGATCTGTGATCAAAACAGTGTTGCTAACACATCGTTATTTTAGCTATTGCTGCGCAGTGCTTACACAGCGTTAAGGCTTTTCACACCACCCTGCCAGCGTGTGCACCAGAAGCTGGGAGGAGACATAGCTGGTCCAGCAGATCCCAACTGACCAAAGGGATATCCCATACTATATGACATCGTGCTCAGCAATAAAAGCTGAGGGAAGAAGGAGGAAGGGGGTCATTCAGAGTTTGGCATTTGTCTTCCCACGTAACTGTTACACATGACGGAGCCCTGTTTTCCTGGAGATGGCTGAACACCTGCCTGATGATGGGAAGTGGTGAATGAATTCCTTACGTTGCTTTGCTTACGTGACCAGCTTTTGCTTTACCTACTATGCTGTCTTTATCTCAACCCACGAGTATTTTTAATCTCGCCCTTCCTTTTCTCTTCCACATCCCACTGCCGTGTGGAGCTAAGCTGCCTACTGGCATTAAACCACAACAGATGTGCAACAAATGAACTTCAGCTACTTTGAGATGAACAAGTAGCTGAAACCAGTAACACATATGCTACTAAATGCTATCTGGTGAAAAATAAGGCTTGGATTTCTTTTCTGAAACCAAGCAAGTGGATTAATAATTTTCACTGCCTTTTATTTTACCTTTTACTCCTCTCGTCTCTGCCCCCCATCAGTAAAAAAACCCTTAAACCATACCTGATGATCAATGCTTCCATCAGGAAATCCATCTCATCCTGCTCAGAGCAGACTTCCGGCAGGGTCTGGTGAAAGGTAAAGAGAGTGAGGACCATCCCACCAAAATATTGAGAACATTTAGATGACCACCAAAGGGGGGGAAGAAAAAAAAAAAAAAAAAGAATGAGCACGTAACATGAATGACTTCAAGTACCTACGAGGAGGGACTCATCTTTTCAGTGCCCAGTTTGTTGGACTGCACATGACCCATTTGGTAGTTAAAGATAGAACAGGAAACCGATGACCTGCTTGGAAATATTTTTGTGTGCATTATAACTATATGCAGTCTTCTGGAGCCAAAGAACTTCACTTACACATCAAGAAAAGCATTACCTGGGGAATTACAGTTCTAGTAAGCACTTCCAAATGACACGTGTTAATTCTGTCTCCCTTTTCTATACGTCCACATTGCAGCCCGTGCTTCCATGTCGTACGACACGTGCGGTCACACAACTTAAATAACTGGGTCATGTGGCCTTATAGCTTTCCCTCCTGCCGGCAGATTTGGACAGCATCTGCCACTGATAAACGTGAACTGAAAGCACAGGCAGCAGTAGCAGCAGTGCCTGCTGCTGTGCCCACTGTTTTAACATCAGGGGATGGTTTGGCCACAGCTGTGCGTAGTGCCCACTGCCAAACTGCACGCAGAGAGGTGGGACGTTTACTGCTCAGCGTGGTGAGGCTGGCGTGGAAACAGTTCTTGTCATCAGCAGTGTGCGATACAGGAGTCATGGTTGCATTTTACTGTCTCAAATAAGTGATTGCTTCACACAGGACAGTGGAGATGATTTATTACATTGGTGGAATACCCACCAGAAACGTGGGGAGTATGTTGTAAATAAATTTTTTAATTTACTCCCAGTCTGTACCTGCTTCTTCTGCAAAGTCAGATCAGGACTGATACGCTCCATCGTGGAGCAAGGTGAGCATGGCCACAGCTTGGGTCCCAGGGACAATCTACCAGTTTCCAGCTGGCGAGAAGAGCAGCCTTTTGATGATGTTCAGGGGGTTCACTTCACAAGGAACCGAGAGAACAAGCGGGCAGACCGGACCCTCACAAGTAGCCATCATTGCTGAGACTTGCAAAAAGGGTGACATCTTCACTGGACTGTCACAACTGAACAACATCTTGCCAATCTACTTCCGCTTGCCACTGTGCTGGGGTGCTTCCTCCAGTCTGGACTGGGAAACTGGGTTGGGCCCTTAACACTGCTTGCTAGTGTCTGCTCTGGGTTTCCAGGCACATTCGTTCAGTGGCACAGGGAAGTTCATAACAGAATGCCATAATGCATGATCCTTTCACTTTTTTTTTGTTTTTAATGGTTTTGAAAGACAGGACTAATAACAACAGGTTTTCTTTCTATTAATGAAATCTATGTTTTGGGCTGAACTCACAGAAGTAGATTTGGTTCTCTGAGTCACAGGCTTATAGAAGAACAAAAGCAGGCTGTGAGGATCCCTAACTTCAGGGCTGAGTAACTGACAAATCCTGAGGCAACAGCAGTAATTTCACAGAAAACCAGCCTGTTATCTCTTGCCATTAATGACATGGAAATTAGCATGATATCACAACATATATTCACAGCAGCACATTTAACACTGCAGTACTAAGAGACTACCTGAAAGTTTCACATATGGTAGAAAACCAATACTCTCAGTATGAGTAACTGAGAGTTAAGAGTAACAGTACTAATTTTTAAATATGGTAATTTCCCATGAAAAACCTAGGAGAAAGCACTCTAAAGCACTGAAATGCAGAAGTAATACATAAGCATTAAGATAAATGTTTACTGTCACATAAATTCTTTGTACCAATATTTGCCAGTGTTTTCTTTATACAAGATTTAGAAACCCCATTCTAGTCCACAATGTCCCCCAAATGTCTGTTGGTTGCTATTTTTTTCCTCTTAAATTTCCTTTTTTCTTGGCTACTCAGATCTATAAAAATCATTGCGACAGAAGAGCCGTTGTAGCAGATTCTCTGCTGGAGTGAACTTAAAAAAAATCAAAGTTTATAATTTCTGCATGCAGCAATATGTGGAAGCCTGCATCACACACGTGTGTATGTCATTGTGTATGTAATGAGTGTGAATCTCCAGCTGGAATAGTAAGAAGATAACATGGCTCTTATGGGTAATTATTGTTGTATAAGAAATTTGTGGGTACTGACCTTGATAGCCACTTGAAGAGGGCTGGGATCCCCTGCAATGCCTACCACGGTTCCCTCATAAACCTCACCAAATGCACCATGCCCTAGTGCCCTGGAAGAAAATAAGAAAGAAAAGATGTTACTATGCTCCTGGATCCAGCATTGGCTGAGCTCCTCTCTTCATCCAGTCCAAGAATAGGAATAGAACCTGCTGCAAGAAACGGAATCAACAACAGAGTTTCGTTTTCATCTCAAAGCCTCTGAAAATAACTTCTCAGTATTTTCTGTCACTGTCGCTAAAGCAGGGAGGTTGGATCCTTAATGGTTCTGAACAAATAAAGCAGCCTGCTCAATGCTAGGGCCCTATCACCAAGCATGGCTATAGCAAGGCAAGGAAGAACAACACAATAAGGTAGCTGCAAGCTGATGTCTTCAGGAAACGGTGTAAGACAGCACATAATGATCACGTTTTTCCTTCTAAAGTTCACATAACTTTGATCCATTATCACCTGGAAGGAGTAGAGCTGAAAAGCAATCTAGTATGTATTTCCTTGTAACAGGAAAAGCTGAAAAAGAAATACTGCTACAGATCGGGAGTTACTAACAGGTGGCAAGGGTAATCCAGGACATAATATAAAGACACAGAGGTGAAATACCCTACGCTTTGTGTTAGAGCATGGAGCAGGCGACTCATGAACTTGTACTTCTGTTGAGAACTTTATGGAATCAAATTATCTTAGATTAGACACTTAGAGTGAGTGTCATGTCTGTTGTATTTTGGCTGGCTTGGACTACGTGCTTTCCAGTTAGTCAGACAGGTGACCCTTGTTTTCTTGTCCTGGATACTTGATGATGAGTAAAACAAGCATGTGAGCCCGACCTCTCCCTTTGCTTCAGGCTGCCTTTCCTGTCCTGTGCCAGAGAAAAACCCTTGCTGCAAGCCTTACCGAAGCAGAGAGATGTTTTTCCGTGGGATCTCCTTCAGCTCACTCAGAGTGGCAGCTTTCCCTGCGAAGCAGTAGTTGGGGTTGTAATCTGTCATGATGGCTGATGTGCGGATTTTGCTCAGTTTATATTCTGGGCTCTGCAGTCGTGCTCTGGCTCCTTCCAGCTGCTGCTTCTTAAGGTGATAAACTGGGGGTGGGGAGACAAACAAAAATGCACAAACAACATCAACAATGCTGACCACACAGAACAGAAAGAAACCAACTCTAATTATAAATGCCCAAGAAGTATCTTTAGCTCATCAGTAGCACACTCTTCTCCATGCTCTCCAGTGATTTAATACTGGATATGCAGTCTTATTCCTGCAGAGTCCTAATCACCTGGGAGCAACTTAGGTTTCCTCTGCTTCTTTGTACATTGGCAGAGGAAAGGCTGTTCCACAAGACACCTTGCTGGCACTGAATCCCAAAAAGCATACCATCTCTCCGAATTAATTATATGGTTAATTATAGACTGTGACTTCAGCCTATATAGCAGTGGCTGCTAAAAAATGCCTGCTAAGAGGCTTTCCAAGCTCTTTTCTCTGCAGCAAATAGAACAGAGCAGTTCTTGCCCTGAGGGATTATGCTTGTGCCTAGCTGAGTGGTGGTGATGTTTCCCATGATTTCTTTCTCCCTGTTCCTCTCATCCGTTTGGGAGACCACAACACTCTGGCTCCAAGTAATAAGAGTAGTATAGCATGTGGTTGGATGGTCTCCTTTTGTCTAATTTAACTGGGAAAAGCCAAGTCAAAAAGTGATAAGGAGTGTTTCTTACTGATAGATAGGCTGCCGCAAGTAAGGATCATTCCAAGCACCACAATCACAGCCACCACAGCTAGGAGGAGTGGAAGAGGAAGGTGTCCCTCTGTGATAGGACTCTGGGGCACTGGAAAAAGAAAAAAAAATAAAGGCCTATTAAACAGAATACAATCAGAGCTGCTCTAAAGCATCCCTCTCAAGGTTGCTCCTGTTTCAGAAAACAGTACAGAGAACATGATCAGACCATCTTATCAAAATTACAGTAAATCACTCTACAGCCCTGGAGGTCGAAAAACATACCTAATTTTTTTTAAAAACATTGTGAAGATAGCAAACTAACTGATAAGTAGTCTGCATTTTATCTATTGTTTTTTTTTTTTTTTTAATTAATGGGTAACACCACTGCTCCCAAGTTGAAACTCTAGAGTCCTGATAGTTTGGAGTTGCAAGAGACTGCGTTAGGAAATAATAGTGACTAGCAGGCATCAGCTGAACAGGCACAGTGGGAAACTGCTGTGGAAGGAAGTAATTTGTGGCTTAAATAACTCAGCAGTAGGTGGTATATTATACCAGGGAGGTATTTACGCTTAAAATATCTGATACACTGTGCCCATTCAGGAATTTTACACTGTGTCTCCTTACAGATATTTCACCTTCTACCTAATCTAAACCTGAATTCTGGAGATGCTGACAGAGATGCAGCTCAGTGCGTAAGGAAAGGACATCAGGAATTTTCAGTCATACATTTGAATGACATTTTTCATAACACTGTGTTAACTGGAATCACCAGCTTTAACTTGGGGATCTGACCAACAAAAAAGCCAGGAGGAGAGACGACACCAAGAATGCAGATGTTATCCAGTGAGGATAAAACTCCACCACTTACCAGTGCAGGTGACATTGTCATTGGCTAAAACAGCCCCCATCTCGCACTGGCAGACTGGGAGGTTGGTGTCAGGGTCCCGCTTACAGTTGTCTGAGTGGCAATGGCTGCAGTTAAGATAGATCTGAACCTCCACCTCACCGTGACTCTCCATGGCTGAATGAGGAAGCAGACACAACAGGATGGTTTAGTTTAGCTTTTACCATCTTGTTCCAGGAAGGAAAAAAAATAGAGCAGGTACCTGCAACTTCTCTCCTCTGCAGCAGAGCAGATAGTCCAACACAGTGTGGACATGTCAGAAACCTTAGGGGGGCCAGGAGGGAAGAGATTGGATCCCTCAAGCAAACAGAGAGGTCTTGAAGTGAGTTGACCGGGAAATGGGACTGAGGATGTACAGTTTAATTTGATGACTGGTGTCCCTCCCAGCTTAGAGGTTGAGAGGAAAAAGGTCTCAGAGCACTATAGATGTATTTAAAGAAATGACCACAGCTAAAGATCTGGCCTGCAGAGTGAAATATGCCTGAATGAAATCCATAAAAGCAAAGACAGGAGGAGAGGGAGCAGGAAAGAGGAAATAGAGGAGAAAAAAAGGAAAAAGGAGGAAGAAAAGAACTAAGAGGAATAAGAAGTAGTATACTATACCTGCCAGGGGATGCAAGAAGATCTCTCCAATGGGATTCACAAAAGAGATGCCATCCTGCCCACCAGCTGTGATATCATCATTACCAGAGGCATGTCCCCCTGAGGAAAGAAGAGTATACCTAGCTGAGCAGTGCTGCAAGCTGCAAGGATGTGATGCCTCTGCGTGTTCCTGGCTCTTATCACCCGGGGTCACCCTGCAACCTTCCAGGGATATATTCACATGTGTAGTGTCCTGGATAGTGGATAAACGCTCACTTGATGTGGCCAAGCCAGTAGCAAGGTTAGTGAAATGACTTAGTCCAACATAGGTTTCTCAGTTCAGCAAGAGGAATATATTTGCTTTAAACAGAAAAAAGAAATGGAACTTTTTCCCTGGGCAACTTGGGGACAAATGAAGGGGTGATTCAGCACACCTTTCAAATACTAAATCACGTAGGAACACTTCTATAACCTTGATTTCTCCAACTGAAGAGAGATGGTGGAGTGGGGTATGTTTCACACCGTTCAGACTGGAGCATCTGTGAATCACCTTCTGCAGTAGTGTACGCCTGCACTGAGAGCTCTAGCCCTTAGATGTGGGTGCTCTGAAGGGTCCAGAATTAGACAGCGTGACCATTCCTCCAACAGACCTACCTCTGTAGCCTCCGCCTCCTCCACCAGAAGTACAAGCTCCTCCTCCCCCACCAAAACCACCAGAGGTAGCCCACTGGAGCTTGGCTAGTGCTTGGGGACAAGCTTGACCCCCTTCTCCACCTTCCAGAAGGGACTTCCCAGCCTGAGGAAGCAGTGTCTCATCTTGCCAGCCACCACCTCCACCTTCACAGTCAGAGAGTGAGAGAACAAAATAAAAACAGGTGAGGGAAGCACAGGCAGAGGAAAGTAGGAGAGAGACTGTAAAGAGTCAGAGATTGGCCCTTCTTAGTTTCTTACGTGCTTGCATTCAAGTCAGCTCCTGTTTCAAGCATGTGACTATACAGATGAGCTCCTTGTTGCCATGGATAATAACTAAGTGGAAACCTAAAGCACAATGTGCTGTATAACCAGCAGCTTAGCAGCAATTTCTAGTGACATTAGGGAAATAAGGAGCCCACCAGTTACCCTTGGGATAACTGGTTAGGGCTTTCAGCCATATGAGATGCTAAGCCCACCCAGAAAATAAAAAATAAACTGGATTTCCTCATCTCCCTCTAGCACCCTCTCTATAAGGCTATTACAGCAGGAGATGGAGAACCACTGGACTTTTTTGTCTCTTAGGAATGGATTCTACGCATAGCAGTTACAAGATTATAAAGAAGCTTCCATTTCTGGTATAATTCCCACAATATAATTCTTGTTGTCAGGGTTTCAGGGAAGTAACAAGGAAAAAAAGTCTTCTTTACAAAGACCATTGTTACAGTGTGGAGGACTGGGCCCCATCCCCAAATATCATTTTCACGGAGTCATTTCCAAGAGAGGACCCCTCCTATGGAATACCCTCTACTGAAGCACTTATCACCTGTCTTTTTATCTGGCGACACACCAAGACGAAATCCTTTATAGACTGCCACCATATTTCTAACAACTACTGCCATGGAAAAACTCCAAAAGACCCAGGAGAAGCCCCAAACCTCATGCCTACAGGACAACTTGTATATTGAGCCACCTGATTCAGACTCTGTGTGGTTTTAGTGTCTCACCTGCTGCCCCAGTCCTTCCACTGACTCCAGGTACTGCGGTGCTGTTCTGAAATTGCTCCAGGGGTATGTCATCTAGGGAGCTGTCCTGAGCCTTCAGGTAGGCTTTTCCTCCTCCTCCTGCTGCGATGAGCAAAGGTTCGAAAATCCCATCCTTCTGCTGGAAAACCCCCCATCAAACATCAGAAAAAATTCACATCCCTTGGATATGTGAACTCACATAAACTCATCAAAAAGCACGAAAGCATCCCAAAGAAGAGTGGCCCAAGGCCAGGGCAATTATACTAATTATTTCCTAACTGCACTAAAAAAAATGTTTTACACAGTGTTTGCGTATACAAAAATAACTGTTTAACTGAACGCCAGGGGTTTGGGGGTTTTTTTGGTAGGACCAATGCCAGTATTAAAGTGGGATCCTGGTATGATTCCCAGACCTGGGCTGTCAAGAACTGAGGAACCAGTTCGCCTGGCTTAGTGGCAGTGACAAGTATGATCAAGGACATGAAGAGAGATAAAGATTTTAAATTAAAAAGACGAAAAGAGACAGAGGGAGAGGAAGAGAAGGAAAGGGAGACTCCTTTCTCAACACCTTTTAAGAATTATCGTATATCATGATTGACAGTGAAAGCTAGTTGCACTGCTGGACACTGCTCAGACAGAATGCAAAGAGGAAATACTTACTCTAAAGATGTAGGTTGCTCCTCCTCCCCCCCCACCTCCTCCAGCCCAGTCCTTCAGGACCTTCTTTTTGTTGTAATCTTCTTCAATGGGAGATGACTCCCCTAGGCAGATCTTCTGTGTTTCAGGATTGGCCTAGAAGGAGACAAGAGATGCACTCAGATATCAGTAAGAGGCAATACCAAAGAATTCATGCTGAAAAGAGGCAACATATGTCATTACATATGTCTAATACATGGGCCACTGTAGTTTGTGGGAAGACTCCCAGTGATTTTGTCAGGCTTTGGATTCAGACCTTAGTATTTAAACTTAGAGAGTATCTAACACAGTACAGCCACAACGCTGCTGGAAGCTTCCATAAATAATATTAAATTATCTGAAATCCTGGCAGACAGAAAGAAACCTAGGCTGTGGAAAAATAAGAGAGGGAGCACACAACTCTTACCTACTAGCTCCCTGCTTAAAATAAGCAGAAGAAAGCTGATGAAGAACTTATTTCAAACACCAGCAGCTTAAAACAAAGTTCCCATGGGCTTCATATTTGTTTGTGTATTTTGGGTTTGCTTTTCTTTTTAGAGTTCTTTATACTTGTTTTGAAATTCTAACTTGGTTTATTGGTTCTTCCCCGTCTCCTGACTGGATTTCATTGCTGGATCCTGGAATTTCTATCTTTCATCACCAAACCCCAAGCCACCCACTGAATCTCACTGAATCGTATCTGCAAAGCCTCTGCCCACATATGCTTGTGCAGCCCTCACCCCAGGGCAGGCATCCTCCCCTTGCTGCCCCACTAAGATGTACAGCAGCTCATCTTTCTCCAGCTGGAAGGTGGCCGAGATGAACACCCCGTGGGACCTCTTATTGTGGTTTTTGGCTCCCTTCCCTCCAGCTGCTCCATAGGCAGAAATCCTGGAAGAAAAAAAGTAGTTAAAGAGGCAAATCTCACAGTCATCCCCAAAGCAACTCCATCTGCAAGGTCTCCCCAGCCTGCAATCCCAAGCAGGCATTGCTCCAGACCAGGCTCCCCTGCTGCAGCATCTCATGGCTATTCTTTGTCTGAGGGCCATTCAGCCAAGGCTGCTCAAGAGGACAGAACAACTCTACACCAGACCTCTGGAGGTGGAGACTTCAGGAGAAAATAGTGTGAGCTGGTGTAGCCAAATCTAGAAGACCAAGGCTTCGGGACTGAAACGAGAGCACTTCCACTTGACGGCATACCCACAGCCCCTCCTGTTCTGATCTAGGTCACCACTCCACCCTTCCGTGCTTTGTGACAGCTCACAGATCCTTGCTGCTAGCACTCCTATTTCCCTCTTACTTCACTGCCCCCTGCATCCACTCAGTACAGATGGTCCCACATTTTTGCTTGCTGAAACTTCACAAACAAAAAGTAGTTAAAACGTGGCCGTGTCTCTAGCATGGACTGATACCTGTATCGGTTCGTGGCTGGCACTCTCCAGATCTGCACTCCCCGAAGCCTGCCCTCTTTCTCCACAGTCACCGACACATTGCTGTTCTTATAGGCACTGTCGCACTGAGCTTGAGTTGGTCCGTGTGGACCACTGGCCCCACATGTTGTGAACCACCACAGAACAACAGATGTGTCCCCTGTAACCAAAACAGCAAGATTTGAGCAGATATGAGCGTCCTGTTATTTGTCAGACATGTGCGGTAACTCACGTAACTACCAAAGGGCAAGTGCCACTGGAACAAACAACAGTTCCTGTTGATATCTTTCCTTATTGATCCTTCAATAACAAAATTCGTACTATTATTATTCACAAAGAATATGAATGATTTTTATATTAAAACCAGATGATCAACAGAAAGACCATGTTGAAGCAGTATGTGTTACCCACAGGGTTTTAAAACTCAATATTTGATCACATGCTTATTGTTATAATCACATGAAAAATGCTTAAACTTGTATTTACAGTGTGGAGGACGTGAAAGCCAGTACATGCTAAAGTTAAATTTACCTGTTCAACTTTAATGCAGCTCCCATATACCCAACATACCACCCTTAATTATATGACCACTGGGTACTTTTATTCTCCCAACTTTATTTCAGACGTAGCACATCTATTGCTCTTTATATAGTCAATGTTTGCCTTTTTCCCCTTCTTACCTTATTTCCTGCACACTATTCAATAAATCACGGACTGCAGTTAAACCTCATCAATTGAAGTGTTTTATCCAAGTGTCTCACAGACTTTATCAAATTTCTCAGTGCCAGTATGAAGCAAGGAGATATTATTCAACTTTCCAGAGGAGAATTGAGGCATATACACAGAAATAAAGGTTGAAAACATCTGCCATTACAACTAGTGACCATCTACGAATGGTGGTGAAAGCTTGAAGTGACTTGTCTCAGGCTTGCACAAGAACCCTGCGTAGCAACGACTTGTTCTCTTGCTCCTTTCAGCAGGGGCCTTTTTCCTCCAAGCAAATTTTTTTCCTGGCTCTCATTAAGCATTATTCTTTTTTTTTTTTTCCACAACAATGCAGCAGATAAGAACAACCTCCTCAATTTCACAACCCTTGTCCAAGACCCTAACATATCCATCTTGTCCAGTGAATGAGATGAGGCCTAAGAATAAAGCTATTCAATAATGTATCTAAAACCAGCATGATTCGGTGCATGCACACGGGCACGAGTCAGAAGAAGAACTGTTTAAGGGCTGAATGGTTAAAATAGCAGTAAAAAAACCTTTAAAAGAAAAATTCTAATCTTGTTTAAAGGAAAAGGCAAGCAAAACTATCCCCAACAGATGCCATCCTGTGAACACACAGGTGGACAGCTGGGGTAGGAGTGTCAGCTGCATTACAGAAACCTCAGCTCCTCGAGCGAACAGGAGCTGACAGCAGTACAGATTGTCACATGTCAGGTGGACAGAGTCTTCAGGAGGTGGTGCAGTCAGACACAGGTATTTGTCAGCAGCAAAGGAGCCTCAAGCACAACCTCCCCTCCTCACACCCTCCTTTACACAGCTCTTCTCTCCCACACATTTATCTGTCCTTCAGAGTAGCAATCTCTACCTCTGTCAGTAAACTGGTCCCAAGTGTCCTACGTTCTCCTAGTTTTTCATCCAGTTTTTCTCCTCAGCGGATTTCCAGGTCCTCACTTACACCCTTATTCTCCACTCGTTAAATTCAGTTTCATGGCACCCCAAGTCCCAGTAAGTCTCTCTCTCCCCAGCTTTCTGTACTGGTCTACACCTTTCACTCCTGAGCTGGCTTTTGTGCACTCCAAATTTGGGTTATGCAGCTTCTCCTTTTTCTTAAAGATTCTTTTTTAAAGATTCTGCTTTTCTTTAAAGAGGTCCTACAATTTAAGGATTGGTGAGCTGGGCTCCAGCAAACTGCTGCCCTGTCTCCATCCATCTCTGGGATGGATTTTATCTACTTGCCCTCTTGCTGTAGGGCAGGAAAAGCACACACAGGACACGGGAAGGGAGTCACCTTTTATAGCCAAGACACAGGTTTTCAGTGCTGAATCATGTACCTGGGAGGGAGGGCTCTTCCAGGGGGTTCAGAAGATGATCATCCAAGATATTGATCTCCCGTGGGTACTGATGCTTCCCACCAAAGTGATTTGCTTGTCTTCCTGTAATAGTTTGTAGAATGGATGAGAGAGATGGAAGGATGGTAGAAAAGAGAGATGGAAACTGCAAAGATCACATGAATGAATCAAGTACAACCATTTAGTTCAAATAAGTAAATAATACCTTGGGTGTTTAAAACACAAACTCTCCATGTTATCCCATGCAGGCTCAAAGGCAGGATAAGGTTCTTGGCCAGCAAATTACACTGGCTGTGATTACAAAAGACTTTAGGAAAAGCGTAATGTGGGAGAACAAAGGCCAGGTATAGATGCTCTGCTGGTCAAAGGGGCAGGAGGATGAGTGGAGGTATAACGACAAGTGACAGCAAAAATTGTTATCTTTGGTTCTGAATAGGGTCATGGTAAGTGTTCCAGCCTAACAGATTGGTCCCCTCTCAGCAACCAATGCTGAGCACCTCAGACCTTGCTTACAGAATAAACTATTAAATAAAATTACACTTACATACACAGTTAAACATCAGTAGCATATCCTTGACACAAGCCATAAATCTTCGGGCAAACATTTTGGAAAAACACAGAGCAAAACACTATGTTTCTGACCAGTGAAACAGGCCTTTAAAACCCAGCCCTTTCTCAGAGAGGAGGGACTTCAAAGCCATTGCTGATCCAAAGCATCTGAATATATTGAGAACACCGCACAGCCAAAGCTGTCTTACAACAGGAAAAACTAACAACTGAATCCTTGTCTCAATCTGCAAGCATCCCATTTCAATAGTTAAATTACCCCTTTTTTATGCAGATCATTTGTCTGGAAAAATCTCTGTAAGAAAAAGGAGAGACTTCCTTCCATTTTATGAGCCCTCAGTTAATTTAATACTGAACATTTTTCATTAGTTGAAAAACATTACAAATATTTCGGTTTGTTCCAGTTGTGAGAATTGAACAGCTGTTTGATGCTCTATTCAAAAGAGACTCACTCAGTTCCAGCTGGACAATTATCTCTGCTGCAAAGCCACTGCTCTAAATAGCGATAATTAACACCCTTGTTAGCTGTGTCAGAAAGGCCAAATAACTAATTGAAGCATGGAGACCTTGCTGAGCTTTTACTCCTGAGAATATTCCCCCCAGGTCTGACTGAAAGCACATTGATGGATGGGAGTAAAAGAGAGCTTTGTACTGACACACTCTGTTCATAGTGAGATAGAGAACTTCAATGGATGGAGCTGTCAAGCCAGCAAAAAATGAAATTAACCCAAAACAAATCATCTGGATCAAAGACAAGAAGCAAAAGCAAATGAAAAAGACAATGCATGGCCAGAAAAGATGCTTGGTCTCCCAAGGCCTGCACTGCATTATGAATCCCAAAGGTCACAACAGTTTCAGATACTTAGAGATGTACAAGAAATCTAGTTATGTTTGCCAGAGCAAAGGAATGCAAATCACTCTCTGAAATATAGTCAGCCTGTGTGTCTGCATCCCAACTGAGTATCCTAAGGCAGTGCCTCATTTCCAAACAAACAATCTTTCCGCCTCTCCAAACAGTCTCAAACCTTCAATGCACTGGAAGAAAGCTTCTGCCTCCTTTGTGCTCAGCAGCAGACAAGTTGCAAGACGTGCTGAGCATCACCCTGTCCACACAACCCGTTAACTCCTAGGAGGCTGATATATTTCACTCACTATCAGACATGAATTTGTAAGGTGGCACTTTCTAAAAATACGGTGTAGCCCTGGGATCCAGGGGCTGGTGCTCCAGTCTATTTTAGCTTTCACTTTCTACTCTGACAGCCAACATGTTGACTGTAAGTGAATGGAAGGGAACAAGACCAATCACATTAAGGCATACCTATATCAGAAAAATATGAAGAGCACAGGACTCTCTTCTCCAGGATTTAGCTAATGTTGTTGTCTTTCACACTGAAAAGGGACAGAGGGAAGTGTAGAGGAGAAAGACAGTGCATCTCCTGCAGGCAAAGTGCTGAAGTAACTCACTCCTACTTCCCTGTGTCTGGGACTGTAATGGAAAAAGGTATAGTGGTCCTGGGGCCAGGATTAATCACAGTAAGATGTCTCACAGGATCCTCAAAGTGTGCACGGTCTCCTCAGAGATCTCACCTTACCAATACAGGTTGGAGTATTCCTTGAAGCCCCTTCAGCTTGTCCTGGAATAGGATGGAGAATGAAGAAGCTGCACCAGCTTCCCCCTGCCTTGTCCCTTTGATTAATCTATTGCATTTCTTGTCAACACTTCCTCAAATCAGTGAAATGAGGCTTGAACCACCCCCCACCATTCACCTCAAGCAGTGAGACTGGAAGAACCAGACTTTGCTTGGTCAGGGACTCCAAAGACAAGAACTAGAGATGTTACACAAAAGCTCTCTTTGAATAATCTTGCCATTTATAAGCCAGTCTTCTGGGAAACTGTAAATGATGCACAGATCGAAATGTGATCCTTAGGTCAGGACAGTAGGATGCCTGGAGCACCAAAAGGTGCAGTAAAATCACTGACCACACAAGCACTGAGGAGGGTAATAATCAGCACTCTATTTGCTGTGCCAGCCCACGTTTTCATATTTAGACACTCAAAATTCAGACCTCTTCCTATGAAAGCACTAGTTCACTGAAACGATAAAATATCTTTATGCCTGTCCCCTAGAAGTTCTCCCAGCAAACCAGACCCATGCCATGTGGTCTGTGACACTGTCTTACACAAGGTGATTGTATGAACCAGGAGGTGGTTTCTTCTCACCTTTTTTCCCCAGGGAAAAAATCTCTCGCTGCCCAGACCAAATAATGCTCTGTTTGTTTTTTGTCCATATTAATGTCCCCTGAGCTGCCCTCCTTACCCACTTGTTTTCCTCCTAAATCTTACTGAATATTTCCTATCGATTTGGAGGTATACGGAAAACCTCACCACCTTTCCCAGACAAGCAGCGCTTTCAGAGTCTGCACTGCGTGTTGTAGAGCAACTGAACTACAGGATTGAAATAGATGGAGAAAATAATATTTACATCCTAGCAAGCAGCGAATTCTTCCTTCCTGCCATACATCCTTCCTGCTGCCCTCATGCAAAGGACTCACTGCTTGGATCTTAATCGGCTCCGTCTCTGACATCTGAAACCTCTTCTTGCCAGGGAGAAATAATTTCATTACTGAAAACACAGCAGAGCTGCTGGGTTTCTCTGCAACTTAACTGAATTAAAGTCATGAGAAGATAAATGCCAGGGGGTTGCTTTCAGAGGCGAGAAAACATCAATTTCCAAAGAGGATTCAAGGAACAGTGGCAAGTGCAAGGCTTCCGAGAAACTGTTTCCTTTGTGATGTCTTTCTTCTGCATGAGTCACACATCTCCGGGTCACACCTTCTGATGGGGTAAGTGGCAGCTGCTCCTGGACATCAGTGCGATTTATACTAATTGAAAATGAGGACTAACTTGGGCGATCTAATGGACAAGCTCTGATAAGATTGCTGCGGTGGCATTTAAGCCCCACCTATTTGCCAAAGGATACATCCCTACACCAGAGCCAGCTGGCTGGGGGTAAACTGGAGTCTGTTATTTGCTCTCAGGAGGGCAGTAAACTCCAGCATCTGGGTGCACATCAGCTGGCACAAGCACATCCGGAACCACTCCCTTCAGTTTCCTCAAAAGATTTCAAACCAACGTGTTAGCATGGAGGTCCCAAAGTGTTTGGGAGCTGAAGTGAACAAATGACGTTACCATCAAGGAACATTTCTTCCTCTTAATTTCAAATGAAAATGTGGATGCTCAGCATTTTATAGCAGGGTGGTTTCCGTGCCCACAGGACAAAGAGATGGAGGACAGGAGACTAAAACAGATAAGGGTGGAAGGGAACAGGGGCTCTTGTTGCTGAACGTTTTAACATGTTTGTTTTGACATAAGCCTTCCCACATGTAATGTTAGGCTGCAGCTAGCCTCTTCAGGGACATGTTATTACCCTAAATGCTGACATACTGAATGTGATGACACATGAAGAGTGGCCCAGGACCACTGATGCACATTTTGTTTGCAACAGAAGTCACAATTCTCCAGTTGATTTATAACAGAGCGTATAGGTCTTTTCTTCAGGAGCAAAAAGAAGGCAGTCTCTAATATTTGAAAGTGGTTCAAGTATCCAACCCCTTTCGGCTTGTCTGCTAAGAAAATCCACCTCGCTAACATGCTTCAGAGGGTAGCACTGGCTCCATTTTTCAGCGGAACACATTGTCATCAGTCACATTCACAGTAATGAAGCAAAGGAGAGCACTCGGGCTACGTACCTGGCAGTGACAGCTGATGTACCTCTTAGCAGTCTGAAACACACTGGCTGCAATAATCTAAACTATACTGCCAGGGAATCACTTTATTCCTTCTTTTTATTCTGTTCCTCCACTAATAGAGGTGGCGACTTTCCCCTTTGATTTCCACAAATTCCCTTCAGCTATCAATTGCCAGGGTGCATAGGTCAGCAGGGACTGCTAAAGAACTGCTGATGTAATCCTTCCATTTAGGGGCTAAGGAACAAGTCCAGTGTTTCTTGCCAAAACACGCAGAGAGGTCTCAACTATGTGATACAGGATATCCCAGATCAGAGAAACAAAGAGCACTATGAGACTCTGACACACTGTAAAATCACCTCTACTAGCAATCTTCAGTAGGTCTGAGATAAACTGGCATTGTGCTGTAAAAACTAACACAAACAATCCACGTGTACTCTGGGGGGGAAACAGAGCGTGCGTGTCTTGGATCTGTGGGATGCTGATTACGCTACTCAAATTCTTTAAGGGATTCTGCAACCTTTGTGGCTCACCGTCAGTGAAGCAGTCCAGTCCAAATGTGATGTTGTCGATAGCAATGTCAGCTTGGGAATTCCAGCCCCAGGTTGCCAGGAGTTGCAACTGAAACCTTTGCAATAAAACAGAAGTTTTAGAGACTTCATCATCATCATCACCACTATTTAGAATATTTCCTACAGACAAGCCTAGCTGAGCAGCCAAAAGGGCTGGCTAGAAATCTTATCCACACATCAACAGTTAGTAAGGACCAACCAACATTCATCTAATGCCACATTTCCCTGGGGAGCAAGAATGAGAGCATGACTTCCCATGCACATATGTGGAAACACAAGCTGCTGCCCCCCTCACTAATATTTATACACAATCATCTTTATTCAATTACTATAAATGGTAAGAGACATGTGCAAAAGGGAAGGGGAAAAAAAGGTAGCCAGAATAAAAACTAAATAGAAAAATATCTATATAGATGGGAATCTTGGGCCTGAACTCAATGTAGTTCAACAAGGTGACATGACTTTATTTCAGTTTAAGGTCAGGGAATGTTAAATGTCAGCCATACCTCCATCAAGTGTTTGCTTTCACTGGTGTCTCATCCTTTTGTTACCATGACCAAGTGTTAGCTACTTTACTAGGAGGTCTGTCATGTCATGTGCACTGACACATTCTGAATTCATAAGGAGGAAAGAAAATGGAGTGAAGTACCTCCTTCTAATGAGTAGGACTGAATTGTTTTTCATTGAATTTCAGAAAAAAACCAGATATCTGATGTCCATCCAGTCCATTTACAGCTTATAAATAACCGTAAGGAGAGGACCTCCACTGCCATTACTAGTGAAGTTCAATGATGATTTATGAGAGATCAAGCACTGACCTACCTAACACATTAATCACTCAGCTTAGGAACACACTTGTCCCAAATTAGTGGCAATCAAGTATGTATGATTATTCCACCACCAGCCAAATGTTGGTCCATGTCCACAGTTAATATAGTGTTGCAAAGCTTTGGGGATACAAATCTTTGGGGATAAGTTGCTTTTACCCCAACTCAGGAATGGCCCCTTGTGCCTAAATCAAAGCATTCATACCTACAGGATCTGAGCACTCTGGGAATAACTGCTGGTGTAGCAAATGCACATCAAGGGTCCCTTGAAGGATCACTCTCTCAGCTACAGGCTTAGCAGGGGAATTTGCCATTAGATCCCCTTCCTACCTGCCTCTTTATTAATAGATTTAGAAATACTTTTGCACTTTCAGATCTTATACCTAGAGTCCACTGATACAAGACAGCACTTTTCCCAGCCGTTTGATGGGAAAGAAAGTCCCAGCACCCTGAGTCCAGGAGTAGAGCACAGCTAGGACCCTCAGCCAGAGATACAGCACCACAGCCTACCCCTTACTTAAAGACACCCACACTGCGGCACACCCTTGGCCAGGTCGATCTACTGTGTCTGGTCCGAGGAGCAAGAGTCAGAGAGGGTCCACAGCACTGCGCTACAAGGTAGATTTCTGCTCCAGCTGAGTACAGGTTAGAGCCTGGGGAATGACCACTCTCCTTCCAGTGCATGAGAATAGACATCTCATAAGCTCTGGGCTCTGTGTGCCTCTCCTTCCTTACAACTTCAGAAAAGGGAGGAATTTGGCTTTTGAGTTGTTTGTTGTGTTAGCCAGCAGGGTTTCCAGTGTTCCTGCGCATCGAGCTCATTTTACTGACTCTAGCATATTACACTTTTCAGCTCCCTGATGTCTGCTCTTCTGCCTGCCTGATTTTCTTCTGATAGCAGCCTTTTTCCTTGTTTGTGTGAACCAAGGGAGTGAATTTGCCAGGTTATCACCAGAAGCAGTTTTGCAAGTAGCCACATGCCCAACTGGGAGGCTGATCAGCAAACTATGTAGTTTGTCTTACTTCTCTCCTAAGAAATAAACTCATTGGAGGAAGTTGTTGCTAAAAACTGCTTATATATCCCCTCTGTGGATGCCTCCTTCTATCTGATATGGATTCTCTCCTTCTGGCCCCATCAAGCCACTCGTGTCTTGCTACAACAACTATTTGTGTTGCAATTCACATCTACTCCTTCTCTCCCTGTCCCTTCCCACCCACTTTGCTATCAGCTATCATCCCTCCAAGAAACCAGGGAAAAATACAGCCCTTGCACACTTTCTCAGGGACAACAAGAGCAGGACAGGAGTTCCAGGATACAGGAGAATGGCAGGACAGCCCAAGCTCTGTGCTAAAAAGTTTCCTAAGCACAGCACTGCCGGGGTTTGCATTACCAGGGAAAGCTGCCAGCACCCATGAATACACAGAGAAGTCATTCATGGAGGTTTATATCAAACTGCACTGAGATTGTACAGCAATGTTCACCATATGCCTCTGTTTACAACTGTTTGCAGCTTCACCAACCTTAAACCAATTTAGGCTGAAATGTTCTGTTTTGAGTGATTTGGTATGACTTGCCTAAGCAGTCAAAACGTTTTGTGTGTCGAGGATGAGACAATGCAGGGGTTCATCATCTTGACCAGGCTTGGAAATGCTGACAGCTTTTAAAGTGCTACGAGGTACTGAAAGTGAGATCTGAAATTTGTAAAGAAGAGAGTCACATGGCAGGAATTCTCATTTGAATGAGAATCTATTCAAATTTTAGTAAAATGTCCTTGATAATTTAAAAACCCTGATATTTCCATGTCTGATAGATTTTTTTTTAATTCTGCAGTCTCCTCTTCCTGGATAACTTCATGTCTGCGGCTAAATAGTACTTTCTATGGCAGTGCTGTTATGAACTATGTCAGGTCCTGCTTCAGCTACATGAAGCGAGAACTGTTCCTCCAAATTAATGGTTACACTTGTTCTTCCCCAGTCCTCCTTTCTTGTGCTGATTCTGGCCAAATAGAATCATAGAATCACAGACTGGTTTGGGGTGGGAGGGACCTTACAGACCATCTAGCTCCAACCCCCCTGCCATGGGCAGGGACACCTTCCACTAGACCAGGTTGCTCCAAGCCTCATCCAGCCTGGCCTTGAACACTGCCAGGGATGGGGCATCCACAGCTTCTCTGGGCAGACAGGACAAAGAAGTTGCCTAAACTGAATCCAGAGTGAACAAGGTGACATCTTGGAGAGGTTGGGGAGCTCCCCGGGAACTTGATAGTAGGGGAGATTGGACTTGGTGTGCAGGGAGTTTGGGCCTGAGATTTACGGAGAGAAACAAATAGCCAGTCAAACAGGACTGGATCATCAAAATAAAAATACACAAGAGAGAACTAGGAGAAGGGAATGGAAGTGCAGGGAAGGGAGTCAGATATAATAAAATAAACAACACTGAGACATAGCACATGCTGGAAGAGAGATGGAAACAACAAGCAGGGAGGAGTTCAGAGAGAGAAATTATGACTGGAAGCATGAGACAGATAAAATGGATTCACAAATGGGAGCTTAAAGAAGGAGAGAGATGAAGTGTATTAAAACAAGAAAGGCACTGAGTACTCAAAGAAGCAGGTGAGACAGGACAGGAAGAGCAGAGCATCGTCAGAAGTCAAGAGACCCGGGATGGAGCCCAGGTGTCCTGGGAGCACAAAGACCAGGGTTTCCTCACGTGGGGCAAACAGCTGCAACACCTTCCAGCAAAGCATGTGCTGCTTCTGTTTGTTACCCATTGGTGTGACAAATTTATTACTGTTGTCAGTCACTTGGCTAGCTCAGGTAGTACGAGTCTGCTTGCTAGATGGAACAGTGCCAGCCTCACCCACAGTGACTGTCATGGTTGTGCCACATCAGTTTTAAATTTGTTTGAAAATGACATACAAAAAGATTACGTGAAGAGAAACAAGACAGAACTACTTGAAAAAGATTGTCATAATACACGCATATGCATGACCTACCTACTTCTTTCGTTTTGCCTATGTGCTCAACTCTTTCAAACATTACAGAATTTGAATATCGATTTTTTTTCATGCAGTGCTGGCTAATGCTCCCTAAAGCCTCTTACATTCCCTCCTGCCACAGAAGATCCATTTCACTTCAGAACTGAGGGCTGATGCAGAAATCGGAGGGTTTAGGGGACAAGCATAAGGGACCATATATCAGATGAGGCAGGAGGTCTTAAATACCTCTGAAGAGGCCCTAGGACTCTGCTGTGGTTAGGTCCACATGAAAGTGCTTGGGGAAAAGAGATATTCCGGACAAATTCACTGGTCATACCTTACATATGCAGAACTATACAGATCCTAACC